GGCTGGGAAACTGCACAATACATACAAAAATGTATGCAAATGATATATGAGCAGCTCCACCAAATTTAAAAATATTCTTTCCATAGTTATGACTTTAATGTGAATGTGATTTCCCACTCCTTAGCAATACTAGTTAGAGTATTGTATTGTACTGTATCGTACAAGTTTATTGTGATTCTGAATGTGTTTGTAATATTTTTTAGCTTTATTTAGCATTCTGTTTAGTTGGTTAACTTTACTGTATCTTAATGTAGATCATTTTATTTTTATACGACCATAGAACAACTCTTTGTAGTTTGCTTTAATGTTGAATAAATATTATTATAATATTACTATTATTAAAATCAGTCACAGTACAATAGTGACGTATTGCGCAAAATTGTTGCAAGGACAATACTTTTCTCCATTTGCATGCCGTCGTGCGTCGATAAAAAATGCACGAAACGGTCGGCAGTATCGATCAAGTTCATCTACTAGTGTGACCTTCGTGGCTGGCGAAAAGCAAGATGCCGTATAATCTTTTAAATAGGCGTCATGAGGATTGAAAGGCGTTAATTTGGTTCTACAATGGGCATCATGAAATGTTGGAAAATTTCAGTCAATCAAAAAAACTGTTCACATGACAAAAAAAAATATTCACTATATTTAATATGCATTATTTTTTTGTTAGTAGCAAATGATCACGGTACGGCAGCTTACTTGTTTTCGAAGTGTTGCAATTGTTGATTAGTACTCAGTGGTGATTATATTAACGTACAAAAATAAATTCGTTGAATTGTTATGAAATGCAAGTAAAATGATTATGATAAGCAAATGCTATACGATATCAGCCATGTTATCCATGCTGACGAGGTGTGTTTATTGACCAGATCAAGTCGCTAATCAACCAATCAAAATGCTGGATAGTGCCCATGTGCTCAAATTACCATAAACATTTAAATATGTTAATGACAGTTCAGCGACCTCATAGTGAAAACAACAAGGAAGATATTTACCGATGTTTTAGTGCGATCTTTTGGCTTCGTAATGCATGGGGAAAAAAGGCATGATTTGCCCGATTTAGAAAAATGAATAAACGTACCGTCCCAAATAAGAATGTACCGGGTGTAATTTTTTCGGGGAAAAAAATAAACGTACCGGTACAAGTAGCGTTCTGGGCAAGCTCACAGAGTAGCGACATATTTTTAACTTCGCATTGGCGTGATCAGTGGATTACGTAAATGAACCAACACTTTCAATGAGTACATGCCGACCCAACTAAACTTGAGGACGCATCTCATAGAACAATAGCTGTGGAAATCATAATGTAAATGTTGCGGAAATCAAGCATGGCGATAATGATTTTGAGCGAGGCAGAGTCTGGCAAGCGTCTCAGAGCAGCATTGCGCCGACACCACCACGACGTTTGAATCACGGAGAGAGCAGTGCAAACCTCTTAAATCACGAGGTAAACTTTTAATTTACACAATACATAATCAATTCCTACAACAATAATAAACATAGTTGAACTCTGGTGACCTTGCCCTTTGTTATATAATATAATTCCCTTTATCATAGTTTGTTTCAATATAAATATGCATTGTCATAATTAATTTTGAATACAAACAAGTTTTGGGGTTGAACCAACAGTGGGGAATCAGTCTACCGAATGTCCTTAAAAGATGTAAATATCTTACAAAATCATTGGTGCCTTATTTGTTTAATTATTTTAAGGGACATATTTCCAGCTTTCTTCAAAGTAATTCAGATATTTTAGTATAAAAACAAATGTCTCATTGAAAAAAAAAAAGTGCTGCTTTAGTCCAAGTATTTTGTACAGGTGTCTGTCAAAAATTAATGATTCACTGAGACAAATATGAACTGCCTCATTGTGTGACTACTGTATTATATGAAAAGTAAAAAAAAACACCCTTTATGAATAGCTATCATGTTGCAAGCTCTGCTTTATATGCAAATCAACTTAAATAGTTAGTTGGTGTCCAGTGGAGTGAGAAGTCAACAGTACTGTGCCTCCTGAGAATCTACATCTTCAAACACTGCAATCTTTGAAGTGCGTTTTTAAACTAGTATTATGAAAACTCTATCATTCTGTTCTAATACTGAAACATATTCCTGCGAGTGTTCATTTGTCGAATGAACTGTTTGTCAAATACAGAATACATATATTTTAGAACAATTTTCTTTTTAAAATGTGCATGAAATGTTTTGCTTTTTATGTATTGTTTTTGATTTGATAACTTTGAACTAAACATATTTTCTATTAGCTTCAGATCTTGATCAAAGTTTGGCACCCAGTTCATAGCAGTGCTTATATTGATTTTCTGACATCTTGTTGTCTGTAAAGATTTTACTGATAGGTTTGCAAATGTGTATCAGACTGTGCAATCTCTCCACGAGTTGGTTTTGAAACCCAGTATGGGATTCTGGGATACATTACCAAGGATATTATTACAAGATAAATCATTTGCTTCATTGAACACATTCAACAATGCATATTTCCACTGAGATCAGTGACCTTTGATGTGTATCACCAGTGATCAGTCAAGTAGAAACAGTCAAAATATTTTATCAGATTTTCTCAATTTTTGCATGATATTTTCATACAGGACATTTGTTGTTCAGACTCAGGGAAGACTTTATACTGATGAATAAGGTGACCAAGTTTGATAAAGTTTGGAATAGAATTAGTAAAGTTATGCACACAATAACAATTATTAACGACAACGACGGACAAAATTTTCCCCTTAATATACCTTTCCCTTCCATCTTTGATGGTACGGGCAAGGTAATAAAAAGCCTTTACTCTGTGTGCCATGCAGCGAGTAAGCAAGCATTTTTGTTCCACTTGCCATTCTATCCAGCCATAAATCTTGCGGGGACTAAGATGTTTATGAGTATAGAATATTCTAACCAAGACCAGATAGTACTGAAACCTGTTGATATGTACACTTCACAGCTAGAAGTCTTCTAAGATTCTTTTCACTCATTCCACAAGCTACATAGGATTCATGAGCTTACAGCAAGTCTCAAATACTGGGGCAGCCAATTTGCAAACTCACTGGCGAATTGGTCAACTGCTTGGGTTTTGACTAAAAAGTTGTCTTTCAAATCTAGCCCCCCCCCCCAAGTTAGCAAATTGGCTGCCCTGATACTTAATTGTGTACATACAAGTAATATACATGTACCACCTTTGCACTAATTTGTAGTCTGTTACATTCCATGAATGAATGCATGCATTTAGTAATATAGCTACTACAGTAGTACCGGTACCAGTAGGCAGTGAAGTTGAAGCAAAAAAAAACAAGACAATTAATACTGAGCCACTTGATAGATTTATTTTACATGATGTTCATAACAAATGTCCCAGCAAAATGGTATTCTTAAAACTTTTGGAAAGCCTTTTTCTTCATGCTCCCTGGGGCCTTAGAGACTTTGAGCACATTAAAACGCACAGTTTTACTAAGTGGTCTGCATTCTCCAATGGTCACAACATCACCAACAGTCAAATCTCTGCAAGTAAACATAAGGTAAATAAATAAAATTGTGCAACAGAGGCATCCTTATATATTGCAACCATGTGTTTATGCTGCTACTTACGAAATTGGATGAAAAAAGGGAATTCATCAAGGAATATTAATTCTCTGGCATAAAATGTACAAGATGTTTTTTTCATGAATTCTCTCTGGAACCCCAACGAATTGTTTTGTTGTGAAAATTTTGTATTTTTTCCCCTCGACTTGTAAGGAAAAACAGGTTTCCTGAATTGTCTTAAGTTTCAAGCCAGGCTGCCCCTATATAGTGACATATGTGAACAAAGTTGATTGCATCGTCCTCAATTCAGCTGGGAAAATAAATGCAACTGTATCAGCAATTGCCAAAAGGCAGTTCTCAGCAGTGCCAATGAGAGGCATAAGAAGACCATCGTGAAAACATCATTTACAGTGCATATATGTTATCTGAGACAAAAGTCAGAATATGTTTTATACAGAAATGCCCCAACTACTTGCAGGATACTATACATTACATCAAATATTTTACAGGAGTATGTTCCTAAATCTATAAGTTTAGCCTATTGGAACTAATTCATATCAAAACATAGCTAATACATAGCCTTACACCAAAGACTAACATTTGTGCAACATAAAAAAACCCAACAAATTGTATATGTGGAATGATATACTTACCTAAAACATGGAGAAAGATGAACTGAAATATTTTTGTGTCTCTTCTCAAATCTGTTGTATTTTTTGATATAATGAAGATAATCCCGACGAACCACTATTGTTCTTTGCATCTTCATTTTGGTGACGACACCATTAAGAATCCTTCCACGAATATGAACATTACCAGTGAATGGACATTTCTTATCAATGTAAGTGCCTTGACTGGCCTGAAAGACGAGATAGAAGTTTAGGGATTTGCATTTACATGTAGTCAAACAATACTTAACGCATTAAATTTATCGAACTGTATCAGCAATTGCCAAAAGGCAGTTTCAGCATAAGTAATTTAAGAAGACCATCGTGATAAACATCATGTACAGTTAAAATAGAGGCCATATGTAGTTTAGTCGATATTGGCAATTAATTTTGCTTTACTCACCTCGCGAGGAGTTTTAAATCCTAAACCAATGTTTCTCACAAGCCGTAAATTTTTCTTCTTACCAGAACCAAGAACTCTCTTTTTGTTTTGAAATACCGTGGGCTGTTTCTGGAAGGCCCTCTCAGTCTGTAATAAAACATCAAAATGGGTAGCAAATGAAGGGTGAAAAAGCAAGACTGATTTCAAAGTTCCACTTTTTTTGAATGTACAATTTTCTATGCTTAATGTAAATTTACCAGCAATTCAATGAATCTATATTTTACCGTTTTTAAAATGCATCTCAAATGTCAATTTGGTCACTTTAGTTGTAAAGAACTGCTTTCTCTGTACATTCGGCATAGTCAATTTTACATTCAGTGTTGTGTCTCAAGATTTATGAAGTGGAATATTCATGTATGGAATTACCTTTAAAATTTTAAAACCAACACTGATTTAGTTTGTGTATGAAATAAAATCAACGAGGACAACTAGCTTCAAATTATTAATGTACACATTATGTTTCACCAGTGTAACACCAACACACAAGTACAAATAACATGACAAAATAAAGACAATTTTAACCAGCTTCCAATACATTTATGATTTTAGGACTGTTAAAGCATGTACAAGTAGTATCAACTTCTGAGGTGGCAACAAATAATGCACTAGCTGAAAACAGAAACGTGGCAAATACAGTTGAGCTTTGGAAGCTGTAATTACTGACCCTCATTTTCAATATTATGAAGAAAGTGCATCTGCTATAATGGTAAGATAATACAAGTGATTCCCTTAACACATTGCAGGGAATTTTGTATTCCATTTGATCTATGAAATAAAATTTATTTGACTCAAATATATAATAAGTGGTAATAAATAATTTTCTCAAACATTTCTGCACGCAAGACGGATGTGACATTTCTGAAGACAGAACAAAAATTAGATACGAGCATTTGCAGTTCTGTCAGTCATTGACAGAAATAAGAACTGCATTGAATGAAATGCAGACAATATGGACACTGAATTGATTGTGATATGCATTATTTTCTTTGAAGGTGATTTTCTGATAACCTTATTATGTACCCAGCAGAATATTTGCAACTTGTTTTTTTTTGTATTATACCATACAACACAAAATGAAAATATGAATGGGAATATTGATTCATAACTTTGTACCTCACACTAAAACATGTTTTTACTGGTACATTGTTTGTGGAGACTTCAATGATACTTATGTGGAATGTATTTTTTAATTTTTAGTTGAGTCCTTTCACCCTTCACCTCAGATAAATGATTATGTACGCGTGCTTAAAATCCAAAGACCCCTGTCCTGGATTTAGAATACCTGCTCAGCAGCAAAATCTTTTTGTTGTTGTTTTTGTCGTGGTAGTTGCCCCTGTATAGTGTTGAAAACATCGTCTTGTTAATACCAGTAACTGTCATTTCAAACAGTTTGATCATAGTGCCAAGGGCGAGAGAAAGTTCAACAGTTTTGCAGGTCGGCAAGAGTTCCTAAATCTATCCTTGCCCCTCCTCCATTTCAATTATATATATCAACTCAAAGTAAGTTATTTATTTATTTGGAGGGGCATATTGAAACACATTGAGGCTGGAGCGCAAGGATTAGGATTCAGGGTGGGGAGCTATAAGGGACTCTTTCCTTCAGGTAGAGGCATTGCAATGTAAAAAATTAGAATACTAGTACACCTTTTGGAATCATAACCAATAGTGGAATAGACTTCCCTCCCGGGCAGCATTTCATTGTCAATAAACAAGTGCATTATGAATTTATTTATAATCATTAGAAGTTATTGGCAATGAAAACGCATAGACGACTATTTTAGGACTCCTCTACCGTAGCATTCATTATGGATGGATTTTCCACATGCATAACACGAGCCACGATCTCAAGAATCGGCTGCAGTCAATGGGATGGAGTATCACGCGTGTTTTGATGTTTGACTTAAACACAGGAATTAGGAATTCGTTAGTAAAATTGGTTGTTGGAAATATTAGACGCTTGTCACTCTTAGAGACTACAACAACCATTCTTAATGATACATCTATTCATTATAACATTGCCATTAAATAAAGAATGTCGTGGTAATAATGTCCATGTGACAATCGTACCTGATCCGCCATCTTGGGCTTCTTGTTGGAAAAGGATGGAACATGGGTCGGCTACGGGGTTTCATAAGCTTAAATTATTGGTAAATCTCGCAAAATCTCGTCGGACAAGCTGCTCTCCCGCAAGACCGTGACAGTTAAATACATTGTGTTTGAACAGATGACAATAAATTGGTAAATTTAATATTTTTTGTAGTTATAGCATTGTAAGGCAACCAATAAAATCCTAAATTCTTCGCATAAGAATTTTTAACGCAATTTTTTTTGTTTATATAATTTCAATGATCACGTGACACAGCGCGCAAGTAGTAATTGTAGTATATGGATTCGTACTACTAATAATATTTGTAATTTTAGGATTAAAACATTAAAAAAATCATAATATATTGGTTATTATCCATTACAAAATATATAATATAAAAATAACGATTATGCATCATTTCTTTAACTTACCGATAATGCTCGAACATACAGGCTCAAACTAAAAGTACTATGATCCGAAAATCCAAAATGGCGTTTCATCACACTGCTTGTTTTGTCTTCACTGTTATGATAGTTTGCAATGCCATTCTGTACCCCTCTATATTCAGTAACATGTACAAACAGTGGTTTGGGGGAGGCGAAAGTAGTGGGACTGGCACTGAAAGGGATGATACACAAAGTAAGTTGATTAATTATTATTATATTTTTGACATTTGTCAGATGGTCCGATATTTAGATGACCTTCAATTTTTTGGCATACAATAAATATTCTGTTTGTTATGCAGCGTAGCTAGTTTAATTTTACAGAAACAAACCTTAAATTAACATAACTACAGACTGCAGAAAAATAAAATAGTTTAGAAAGATAAATTATTTTTATTTATTTATTTATTTATTTATTTATTTATTTATTTATTTATTTATTTATTTATTCATTTATTTATTTGTTTGTTTAGTTTGTTTGTTTATTTGGTAATTAATTATTACCAACACATATAATACTGTAGAATACTTTATTTTCGCTATTTTCGCGCAAGGAATGATTCAGTGAAAATAAAAACCAGCAAATATACTTCTTTTTCTGTTTCACATTCAACTCATCAAAAAAAATAAGTGAAAATAAGTTCCATATAAAATACCCAAAAAGCCGTTTCAGCGAAAATTAAATCCAGCTAAAATAAAGTATTTCACATATACTTACTCTATAGTATAGGCTCTATGCATTGATGTAGACCATTGTACAATACAGTATTACTAACTGTCCTAACAGGAGAAGGTCGAGAGGTCCCCCTAAGAGGAAGGTTGTTAAGCATAACATATGATATGCATAACATATTACTATTACATGCAAAATTAACAAAAGAGAATTTAAAAACAAGCTATTCTGGAATTGCATTTCAAACAACTTCCTGGTATGTCAAAAATACACGAATCAGGAAATGAAATAGTGAACATAGATGGAATACAGTTGAAAACATTTTGAACATTTAACTTTGTCGCTTGGCTGATGATTATCTTGTAGTAGAGCATCCTGGAATATGGAGATTAAAAGGCTGGCAGTATAAAATACTAATAACAGAGCGGAAAAGGAATAATAGGTCAAAATAAAAGTTCTGACCTCGCCTCATAATACTGAAGATGGGAAGGGGGTTTTCAGTCTGGTGTCAAAGGTTTTACCTTTTCATTTGTAACAATTTGCACGTAAGATCTGTCTGATGATATAATTTGATTCTAAGTTACTGTAGTCTAGAGTCTAAGCAATGTCACTCAAACTCAAACAATGAGGGTATTTATTTGCTATATATAAACATTTGTGTAAATTTCAATCGTACAACTATCATACGCCAATCATATGCGAATCGAACTTTACGCTGTCTTCACACACGTTAGTATTCAAACATGTACATACATGACAAAAGTCAAAAGTGATTGCAAAGCTCCTTGGATCCTTGTTATGCTGCCATTTATGCTTTGATAAAATTACACATCTTTGAGTCTTTATCAATAGTCAGTAATTTGTTTGTTTAATAATATTAAACAAACTTTAATAATATAAACATTAAAATATGCTACGCTCATTACTTTCTTTGCAGTGTATCCACCACACATGAGGCATCATGGTCCAAGAAGTCCTCCAAATCGAGGTAAAAATAGCATTGTACATGTACTTGTATGCTTTCCAGTACAGCAGTTGCGATCCTGTTAAATCTAAGTCATAGTAGTTTTTTTTACATTGTAATTTTCATTCTTTATTGGGTATTTGTATTGTTATGATCACATACAATTATTGTGTTGATTAGCAAGTATTTGTATATTAATTGGATTGACAACTACTGTGTTCTCACCAGGTAATTGTGCAGGTATGTCGGTAATTTGCATAATGCTGCTATATAAAATGCATATCTGTATCAATGTTTTAAATCATAGCAAAACTGCCTGGAGAGAAAGCCGTTGTAGTTCATGAAAGCTACCATTCTCTATAAAGTGAGTTTGTAAGTTTTTTTTTGATTTTATATTTCTCATCTTTTTTATGCGATTTGTCACTTCACTTCAGGACCAATGGGAGGTGATCGAGTAGCAGCTCAAATGGCACCACAGGCTCAAAAAGAAGGGGCTGGAAAATCACGAGGCATGATGAGCTCTGTACTGCCAGTCTATGCTGTCGGTATCATTGTTTATTTTGCATACATTATGTATCGGGTGAGTTAAGATTATTGTCGCACCCTGCAGCATGCTTCAAGTGTGCTCAGAATGCAAGCACACTTTAAACATGCAAACAGTGGGCAAACATACTTATAATATATGTCTTCTGTTATTATGCACTGCAACCATATCTGTTTGGCCTGCCACTTGAATGGTTTTCAGGCAACTAATGCCTAGGGCTTAGCAACATTGCCTTGAATGCTCCAGCTGACACTCTTGGTGACTTTCAAATACAATATTTCTTTGAAATTGATAATCAGAATACTAAAGTTCATTGTTAATTGCGTGTAGTGAATTTGACTTTGATTATTGTAGTCTCTTGATATATACTTCTGCTTCACCCATGTATGCACCTTGATTTTCTTGCAGTTTTAGATTTTATTATAGGTACTACATTGCTTGCATGTTCTTCATATCACAATATACGTGTAATGGGCTCTTCAACCTTTTGCTTTGAATTTTGCAGATATTCTTCAAAGATCAAGGTCAGAAAGATCCAATCACTGGTCAACCTATCCGCGGTGCTCCTTGTATTAATACTACTCCCACTGATAATTATGCTGCAGCGATGGACTCGCGCAGTAGACGAGTCTATGAAGAAGAACTTCAGAGAACGTTACAAAAAGAATTGAAGCCAGACAAGTACAGGGAAAGAGCTGACAAAAATTTACCTCAATATGTGGAAGAAGAAGGTAATGATAAGACAGTGGTGTTTTCAGCATGCAGGGCTCAGCATTACTAAGGACTTGAGACCTGTAATGTAGTAACAGGGGTAAAACACATTTAAAATTGATTTGTGATTCAGAGTGGTGAACACTGATACTGAGTCAAATAAACAAAATTTAAAACATTTTGAAATTTAGTGTGTATTTGATAGTCATACAGTTCTGGTGGAAGCAAGATGTGAATTGCATGTTAATTTGCATATGTTACAGAGTGGTTGCATCTGGGTCTCCAGAGGGAATCATTTATTGAGACCTAGTTTTGTTGAGCGAACGTCAGGGATTATGGTACAGGATGACAACTTACCTGGGCCCTGGACGAAATGTCAAATATGTCACTATCTTGAGAGGCTATTTATCTCAGTCAGCCTCTCACTAGTGATTTTAAGTGCCAATTTCCATAAGTATGCGTTGTGTGTCATGATTTTCTACGGTTCACATCACATGACCAATGGCAACTACTCAACCTTTAGTTTTCACAGTTCTTTTAATGTGACATAAGCCTTGTGTAGGGTGACTTTGTCCATGCAATTGTGTTTAAAATAATATTTTGTTAAGATTTGGTCATCTTTATGTAGTTAACGTATATTTAAACAAAAATATGTTCAAAATCACAGCTATTGCCACTTAAAGGGTGGTGTAGTGTTAGTGGTTTAGTAGTTACCAGTATCTAATTATTTCTTGATTGAAATGGTGAATTTTGCACACCGTTTTTCACTCACCAAGCTTACTTACAAGTTTACTTACTTCCCAAGCTGCCATCTCTGATGGTTTTCTTGACTAATTTCTTGGGTGTGTTTCATAATGTGGAAGTTTATGATGATAATAATATATTCCGTAATATTATGATTTAGAAAACTGTATAAGCGATCTCCTGTTGAGGTAGCAACCAAGAAAGATCTCATAATGAGTTGATCTTTAATTTATTCATTATACCTATGATAATGTACATATTTTCAAAAAGATAATTTTGGTATTTTGATGGCTAAGCGGATTATGCCTCTGAAAATCTATTGTATAGGTTATTGCAGTGTGTTAATACATGACATGTAGGTCACTGATGTTACAACAATGGTGATTTCATAAGGCAATAATCTAATAAATCAGTTTTTTTATGTTTATTTCCAGGTGATGACATTGTGACACTCCAGAAGCGTCTTGAAGAAACAGAGAAGGCTATGGAGAAAATGATGGAATACATGAATAAAATGGGTGTAGCCATGAGTCAAGTCACTGAGCAGATGGCAACTAATGAATCCCCCAAAGCGTCAGTCAGGCCAAAACGCAGACGCCCACAGAAAGTTGATGACCCTTATTATGATGATCATGATATGGACAGGGACTACGTTGATGAATACTACGATGATGAGGAGGACGAATACGAAGAAGAGGTGGTTGTGAAAAGAGTGCCCAAGAAGACTACTCATGCTAGGAAAAGAAATGTCCCTGTAAAGTACAAAGCGGATGTTCCTAGATCTAGAAGATCAAGAGGTCCCCCTAAGAGGAAGGTTGTTTATGTTGAAGAAGTAGAAGATGATAGTGATGTTGATGAGGACATTTATGCAAATGATATGGAGGATGAAAATGAAGAAATAGTAGATGAAAAAAAAATTTGTAAAGAAGAGAAGCTGGTTGTTGACAACGATCAAGGTGCTCATGATGATTTGAATGATAATTACAATGATACACTTATACCTGAGAATGGTATAGAAGATGATGACATGTGTAAGAAAGTTAGGAAAAGAAAAGTGAAAGAAGAAGAAGATTAAGAGTGTTTTTTTTAGTTTTGAGTACAGTTTAGCTAACCAAAGGCATCAAGTTAATCAGCAATTGTCTCACTGAGTACTGTGTTAACTGATACATTAGATGCTTTAAAAGTTATGGCTCATTTGAATAGATACAACTGATTAGAGTTAATTAGTGTAATTACATATTAACAAAATGTCTATTGCTGTGTGTCATTCTCTTTCTCAAGCTCACCATAAGTATCTAGATTTAACCCTATCCTGCCAGCTCAATGTACTTTTACATTGACTTCACTTGACCAGATAAGGGTTAAATGTATGTGTTAAGTTACTCTAAACAAGCAAAAAAAATTGTAATTTCAAGTTTTTTTTATCAGAGCAGATTGAATCTCACATGTAGGCTTGGCATAACCTAGTATTGTAATATACTAAGTCAAACTTTAAAAATTTGTGTTTTTGAGAGAGAAGGGTTGACATTCCAACCTCTCTCACATTTGATACGGACAATTGACAATTTCAGGAAAAATCTGTTTTGGCCTTGGAACCATGGTATTGGCGATATTTAAATTTTTTTTTTTTGATTCTAAGTGAGCAAGATAAAATGTATATTCATAAAAATCAGGTATATATTTGAGTAAAGGCAGCCATTGCATACGTTTTAGAGATGACTGATTCTTCAATAATTAACATTCGTGTACATGTATAGTAATGTGATATTGTCTTATTTTGTTGTATAGCTGCCACATCTAAATGACTGCTTTAAATCATGAAAACTGAACTCTTCACATCTAGGATTTGGCATAAAAGCACTGTGCAATTGTAATAGACTGTAAAACATTTGGAGATGGCTACGGTACGTACCATTTGAGTGTGTTTGTTTCAATGCTAAAATTAACTCAATGTTGGTAAATCACATTTGTATCCAAGATAAATTAATAAACATACAGAGTAGCTAAATTGAGAAAAAAAGAATTGTTTTACAGTGTCACTTTGCTTTGTGGAGAGAAACTTGTTTGGAACATTTATGTTTATTACATGTACAGGTAAAAAGAGTTCTATTTATTCCTCTCAGGATCAGCTACTAATTTTCTAGTAAATAACAATGCTAAGAGGCTATTGAGCTTTTTTCTCAACAGCTGTCCAATCGTAGGCGCATCAGACCAGCATTTCTGATCTCCATGATGATTCCGATGGTGAATAATTGAGAAGTTGATAACTTTTGTAAATCAGCTATTTAAGTCTGTTGAATCGTATTAGTTATAATTCAGTAGTGTTCTGTTTATGGTAACTCACTCATAGAATAACAGGTAATCTTGTTAGATGGTTTGTTTTTATATAAAAATATAACCCCTGAATTTTAATGTGCAAAGTCAATTTTTGTCATCAATTGTTAAAACCAAATTATCCAGTCTGTTGACCTCAAAAATAGTAGTACATGTTTAATTTTATAAATTGCACCGAGTTTGTGTTTTTATTAAACCGCAATAATACTGATTTTAGCTTTTAATCAAGCATATTTATGAAATTATAATCTTAATGTATCAAGTGATAGAATATAAATTGTACAGAATTTGTGCTTTTATTGAACTGCTGCAATAATGTTAACTTTAGGTTTTAATCAAGCTTATTCATGAAATTGTACATCACTGATTCTTCCTTTGTTGTTAATATTAGCAGTCTACTGATTCAATTAATTACGAGTGATCTCACTGTACAAAGTATATCTCTGGCACACATACCTTCTGTTGTCGCAATGTTTAATCTTGTGTTTCTGTTTAAAGTCTATTTATACTTATTTATTTTTTTGTTTAAATCACCGTCCCTCAACACCGGTGTTGATGGACGGTGTTTAAATGCACTTCATTTCACAAAATGTTTTACACTGAATTGTGTATTTACCATAGCAGATATGGTGTTTTGCATATCTTTCACTTACATCTACACTCGGCAAGCAGAACATGTAATGTCTTTTACATACCAAGCATTATTTCAAAGCTTTAACTACTTTATATTTATTCTAAGTTATTATCTTTGCTTTATGATGCAGAGGTTAGAGATGATAATTTATCTATTTTACAGTTATACAACCGTCTTGTTTAATACATTTTGACACGTTTATTTAATTTATTATTTATTTCTGTATTGCGAGTTTTAACCACTTTTTTTTTTTTGTATAAATGTCATAACACCTGATGATACTGTATTGAGAGTTCTTGCAATTAACTGCATGTATTTGAAAGCTATTAAAGTGATTAGCAATGATCCCAAGAATACTGCGCGTCTCATTCCTTAATGCAGAGTTTATCAGTAGTAAAGTGTTAAAAAGAGTTTAATCAAATACTATGAGGCTGGTGAATTACTACATAGGGTGAGATTTCTATGTTCAATTTTCCATTTTAAGCAATATGTTTGTATCAGCCTAGGTGATTACTGCTATATCTTCATCATGCACAATGATAAAATCTACACAGGTTAGTGTTTTTAGTCCGTTTGAACAGTCCAAAAATGGGGCATGCATCTTGGATTACATTCAAACTTCATACATAATATTCAAATGCACATAAATTTGTTTCACGATTTCATTAAAGATGGCTGAATGACGGCCATTTTTGTACTGAAATCAAGCATTTCTAGCACTGGATCTCGGCTGCTGGTACATACATTGGAAATTATGCACGTCATTTTGTTTTTCAGATCAGATTCAAAATGGCCGACTGGTGGCCATTTTGTTTTAGTCAATGTGGTCCTAGTGCTATATCGTTCAAATTTTGTATATTCATTATACATCCTGTCATAGATATTCAGATGTATTCATAATGGAAGACTAGTGGCCATTTTGTTTTAATTATTGCTGTTTCAATATGGACAAGTCTGATCAGATATAAGATAACCTAATGTCAACCATTTTAATGTTAACAAAAATCAGTCAAGCATCAGCTTCTGGGTCCATATCTGACATGTTTGTGTTCCAACTATTACTATAAACCAAACAAAAAATCTTAAATTTGAACAGGGACTGTGCCATGCATGGCTTGTTAAAAAAACTCAGTGGGTCTTAAATATGGTATCTGATAAATTGAGTTTTTAACATGTATAGGGAAATGAGAAGGTAATAACTATTTTTCCCCCGTTCACTCAAAGATTCATTGTGAAATCGAACGTAAAAATAGTACAAACAAATTGGTACCTCGGTAGTGACTAAGGGATTTGATAAATGCAGATGTCTTTTCACATTTAATAATGTGCTATACACATCATTTGATGAGCAATTTAATGAAGCAAGGGGATTTCCTTTCTGACGTTTGTAAGTTATGAAATATCTGGGCATGTTCAACACAATATACCTAGGAATTACAAAATGTTTGAAGTACACTTGCAATTGAACAGATGTTAATAGTTTCTTATAAGAGATATAAAGCTACATGACAGGACTGCACAAGAGGTGGGTGTTAATTGCAAACAAATGCTAATAGAAATATGAGAATTCACATCAATGACCCTTAGAGTGCAAATAATATTTGCAACAATTTAGTGGACTTCACAGCATACTGAAAACTAATAAATGCTTGGCGAAGGGTTAGAAACGTCAGTGAATTATGTGCACGATTCAGTTGACATTTCATGATACCGAACATTATTAAATGCTTGATACAGTTCACACATCACAAGGCGACCATGGCTGACTATTTGTATTCCAAGCCTCCCTTTCGCAATAGCGACACATAACGACAGCAAATCATATCGTTGCAGGGAATATGAAAGAAAGGCTTTGAATTCAAATTATTCAGCAATGGTTGCCACATAACTAGAAAAATGTGTTTGAAATAGCCTTGATTGATGAAAAACAAATAACATGGAAGGAAGGCACACATTTTATTCCCTTTGTTGCAGTACTTGCATTCTCCAAGACCAGCTAAATGGCTCTGTATAAAGTATTCTACATTAATATATAAACAATTTTATTAATACTGAACATGTTTTCTCTTTAATCTCATAATTCATTCACTCTTGACTATGATTCTCAGCATAGGGTAGCAGTGTCGCGGTTTCTTGATAAATCCAGCATGGGAGGCACACAAATTTTGCCTGCAGTTCCAGGTTGAAGCAAACCCGACATTTGAACCTGTACTTTATTAGAAATAGCAATATAAAAGGAATGGGCTGTGACTTTTAGTATATTTTATAAATTCTGGCAGAGCTGGTGGATTGGCATGAAATTATGCATACAAAGAAGTTTAAATATAAATCATGTCAGTATCTTTAATAGCAAATACAAAAGTCGGCTTTCAGTCAAACATTGTAAACGAGAAAAATTTGCTCAGATCAGCAGGAAAAGTAAAAGGCAGTGAACATATTAAGAGCCACCAATTTCAAGAACGAAGAAATCTAACACTGATGTAATGCACTTGTAAAATTGAAAATGTATGAAATACTTTTAAATAGTTATAATAAATTTGGCTGAATGCATGCACAGCATGTTAATTTAGCTAAATGTCCAGCAATCTCAGCTGGGGCAGCTACATCGTGAATTATCTAAAATAAGAAGCTAATTGATAAGATGCATTTTCAGTCATTTAAATAACAAGATAAGCTACGAAACCCAGAATTAGAATTTATGAGAAAAAAATATTAGTTTTTTTTGTGTAGAGTGAATCGCTTTCTGGGACTGTTAGTTCTATTATGAAGTGCTTTTAGAAAACAGTACTGTTTGCAAGAAATCTGTCCGCAATTCTACCAAACACAGATTACTACAGACTGAACTTATTTCTTAAAACAAATTTTTAACTCTGCCATCAGGCAAGGCAGTGTTTGTTTGTGACATTGATCATTGTGTTGCTCGATAAGAAAACAAACAAGTTTTTTTTACATGAAGACTACTCTGGAAATATTTTACCAGATTGATTGAAATTATTATAGTGGGAAAACTGCTAACCTTCAATTTCCTCAGAAGGCCAAGTGAAATGTTCTAAAGAAAAAGATACTTTTCAAAGAACAACTCTGACTTGAAACAAATTGACAGAATTTGAAGCTTTCAAAGAAGAATGCTGAATTGGTGAAAAAGATATATCAATAGAAACAGTGAAATTAATATATATTTTGTGTTCCTGTGGCAATTTATGACAAATACGGGCAATGATGGAAATAAAATTAAAACTCAATTTTGTTCTACAGTACTTTGTGTATGTGAGGGCGATTTGATTCTCAGGCAACACAAAGCTTGACCTTTGACTTCAGTGGGAGAAAGTTCTTCAAAGGTGAAAAAAAATAAGTGATAAGAGCATTCTTTAACAAATAAACAAAATTTTTCAATAGTTCCTGCAATTAAGTTTTCAGAATCCATCCACTCTCACATACAAACTAAAACAATTATAGCGATCACTTTTCCCCTTTAATGACAACATTATGTAAACTTGAAAAAGACAAAAACTCAATATTACTCATCTCAAACTGCCTTGATCAATAGCAATTTTCCATAGGAGAATTACCTGCATTTGGCAATAAAATTCAATTCAAAGAAACAAAACTGTGTTTCAATGTAATACACAACTCCCTATGTAACAAAATGTGCAACAGGGAAAATGCTCAAATTAAAAAAAAATTACATATAAAAAAAAATCCTGAAGTTTGTACATAAATAAAATTTCATGTATTACATACAGGTGAAAACTAATTCAATACATGCCCCTTTTAAAGGCATAAAATAAATATAATAAATAAAACATCTGAAAATTGTCCTGTATATAAACTTAAGCCATATTGACGGAAAGATACTTGACCCAACAAAATGTATACCTAATAAATGTACTGTTGCATTATTACACAAGCACAGCCGGGGACAGAATAGTAAGCCTATTGCACCTGTTGACTGAAGGCTCTTTACACTTGCCACACTATTCTATCCTTGGTTGTATTTATCTCAAATGATGCGAAACCCAACTCTTAAAGCCATGGCATGAATGTACGTACATCAAACAGTGGGTTACTGTATAAGCACTGTAACAATCAATGTAACATGTTACAATCAAAATATTTCTCCATCATACTGACATCAAATATTACCGCAACCAGCTAGCGGTAAGACAATTAAGAAAGTCATAATCTGCTCTTGAGAAACGGTCAAAAATCTCTTGAAATTGGCAAATAAAACAAGATTTCCTATGTCACCATGTAACTAATGCACCTTGCCCTCTGACTCAAAAAGTGGACACAGTATTTCAGTTCATTATGCATTGAACTTCTTGCTATAGAAAAAAAAAAACACTTTTTGTATTAAGAGAACCTTCAATGGAACAATAAGTTAAATAAGCATTTTATACAATTGATTAGGTAAAGTTATTTTTTGTCAGTAAGTCCATTCATAACAGTACTGCTATTGCAGTCAGAATTAGCTGATGCTGATATACTAGGGATAATGTGGGATTTCACTGGACTGCATAAAACAATATTTGCAGCAGGGTTTGTGGTTCTTGATGATCCAGGACTTGATATGATTGGAGTTGACTTTGCAGCAAAGTTCAACGTATCAGCAGAATTCTGAATAACAAAACCTTGGTTTCCTCCAGGGATTGACACATGAAGCGATGTAGGTTGTGGTGGTTTTACAGGATTAACTCTAACATTCCCAACAGATTGATTGTGTGCACTAACAATGTACAGACTTTGCTTAGTTGGTGACGGTGGAACAGGGATTGGTATTGACAGTGTTTTAGGTGCACTATTTTGAGGAATTTTGAGTGGCGATGTTTGTGGTATACTCATTGTTTTACTCCCCATTTTAGAACTACAGACACTACTGGGTGCTGTGGCAGGCACTGCTATTTTTTGAGGCTCTACAGAAGCCAAGGTTGGAATGGAATGAAGCATTAAAGTAGAAGTTTGCTGTACTGTAGGCACTGCAATTCCAGTAGGAGTAGCATTTATCGGTTTCACAATTGTATTTGCAGTTGAACTCGCATTCTTTTCCGGGATGTTCATCAATAATGCACGTTTTTGAATCTTTTCAATTAATTGTTTCTGGACCACCAGTGGCAGCGAGTTTAAATTCACTGTAGTGGTCTGATTGACATTTGGTTGCTGAAGAACAGCTGTAGCCGCTGAAGGTAAAGTTGCAAACACAGGCTGCTTAATTGAAGCTGTAGTCACAAGTTGTTGGATTTGTTGCAGAGTTGTCTCTGCAATGTTACTTGTCCCTGCTAGTGTGGAACTTGACAGGTGAATCTGTTGCATAGTTGGAGTTGATTGTACTGGTGAAGTCTGCAGCAACTTGACATTTGGCTGACCAGCTTGGGAAGCAGCAGAACCTGCTGCATTCAATATGAAGAAAGGTTTGTTCGACGCTGGCGAAGAGGCAATTAACTGATGCACAGGTGCATTACTGACAATGGGTTGACAGAATGAATTTGATACAGATGGTGATAATGGCGGATTGGTTTGGAAAAGTACTTGAGAAGAGTTTGCAGCTTGCACAGGAATCACAGTTCTTCCTCCAATAAGAGTTGAATTTTCAGTGGCAATAGCAGTAGTTCTTACAGCTGTTGGATGAGTGAACGTTGTTGGTGTAATTAAATGCTGAATTGGCACATTTCCTCTACTTAATTGTAGTGTTGTTTGTTTTGGAGCCTGCAGCACCTGAAGATTGGGATGGGAGCTTGCAGCTGCAACTGTTGCTGTTGCTGTTGTAAGTAAGGTTGGTTGCTGATTGGGAAGGTTACCTGGATTTACTTCAAGAAGTGTTTGATGTGGCCTCTGTATTGTCTGTATCCGAGCTGTTGGATGGGTGGAAGTTGCTGATGTTAGTATTAAGTTTGATGGTTGACGAACATTTGCACCACTTCCTTGTAATACAGTATGCTGAGCACTATGCAGTGATAAGACAGGATCCGTCTTTGATGTAATTACAGCGGCTTTTTGGTTAGAGATATTTCCAGTGTTGACTTGAAGAAGAGTCTGTGGCAAGGTTTGCATCTGCTGAATGTTGGAGATTGGAAAAGAAGATGATGACCCTGTTGTAAGTGTAGTTGGTTGTTGTATAACTGGTTTAAGACTCCAAGTAGGCTGGGTGGATGTACCTGGAGCAAGTATAGGTGCTTGTTGTCTTTGAACCGAAAGGATTGTCTGTTGTGGATTCTGGATTGTCTGAATGGGAGATACTGCTGGATAGGTGGATGTAGAGGACACCATGAGCAAGTTGGACTGTTGGCTCTGGACACTTTGGCTCATTTGAGAGCTATCTGAAGTCTGAGGTGTTAAAATAATTTTTTGAGGTTGTGAAGTTTTTGCTCCAGTCAAGAGGAGATTACCCGGGAGTACTAATTTGCCTCCACACTGAGCTAAAAATTTAGGATCAATCCCTGTAATTGTCACAAGCTTATTTCCCACAACTGCTGTTACTTTTGTACTTGATGATGGCACAGTACCTTCAAGTTGCTGTGGTGGGGACATTGGTGTCAATCGAGGTTGCTGTGGTACAACTTGTGATGTCAAAACATTTTGCACTAACTTAGTTGGTTGTGAAAGCTGCAATTGTTGAGGAGTTGCTGTAGACTGTACCGGTGATTTTATGTGACCAACAGGCAATGGGCTTGCTAAAGTCTTAGGCACAGGCATTGAGGAAATTAACTTTGATGCCCCAGTCGCTACTCTGCTTGTAGTAATTACATGCTGACCTGTTTGTGGTGTTTGCAAAGTAGCATTTTGCAATTGTTTGATAACAGGCTGAGTTTGTACACCTTTTAACTTGATTCCATGTTCTTGAAACGCAGTATATGGAATCAACTTTCCATCAAGCAAAACATACTGTGGATTAATACCTTGCGTAGTAACTCCTTTCTGTGAAGTACTTTGCGGTACTTTAATGTTCTGGACGAGTTGTGGTTTAGGCTTAGGTGTAATAACACTTGTAGGTGATTTCAAACTTGGCCAAACTGAGACAAGTTGTGAACTCTGCACTGAGGTTGTAGTTGCCATTGATGTTGATTGAAGACCACTTACTGTTGTACCTGGCTGAACTCTTGATTGAGGGGATAGCAAAACCTTTGGACTTGTTGAGCAAGTTACAGCAGTAGATGAGGCACTTGTTTGGCTTGGTAACTGAAGCTTGGCACTCTGTTGTTTTTGTAACATCTGTAATAATTGTTCTCTCCCTAGTTGTGGTATTTTGGCAGTTGATGGCTTTTGTTTAAGTATGGGAGAGGCATGCTGCTGTTGCTGAATAACCTGCTGACTCTTCTGCTGCACTTTCATTTTCTGTTGCTGCAAAATCAGTTGCTGATTTTGTAGCTGAGACTGTAATAGCTGCAGATGTACAAGCTGTTTCTGTTGCGAAGTCAGTTGAGGCGATTGCAATAGTTGCATTAATTGATCTTGACTAAGTTTTGTTTTACCCGATTTAGAATCTAAAACTAAGTTGTACTGAACTTTCGGAGGAGCAGCAGAAGATGGCAGTGTTTTCTGTGTTGGTGCCGGAGACACAACAGAGCTTACTTTTGGTTTGTTATTATTTTGACTTTGATTCTGAATTGATGGAACTTGATTTGGATCGGCTAAGGCATCTGCATTATCATCTTTACTTGTGGATGTTTGAGGGTGTTGTTGTTGCTGCTGCTTGAGCTGCTTTTGTAAACGTTGTTGTTGTAACTGTTGGGCAACAGTAGGTGCATTCAAAGTTAATGTTGCAGTATTGCCACCTGTTGTAATAATGTGTTTAGTCGGTGATAAGCGTGGCATTGTTGACATAACACTACTGTTATTGACTTGAGTGACAACAGTTGATGCCTGGGTAGTAGTGCTGAATACTACTGATGGAGACATGCCAACAGTAGCTGAAGTAGTTGCCTGGATAGCAGAGCTGGAAGCTAATGATGTATATACAATATTACTTGTGGTAGTTGCCTGGGTAGAGGTGCTGCTCGCTAGTAAGCCAACTTTACCACCTATACTTGGGAAGTTTATTGCTGATTCATCCCCAAGAAAACCATGCGAGGTTGTCAAATTTGGTTGATTCACAGATGTTGTTATAGTACTACTTGGCGCTGAAGTGACAGTCTTTGGTGGGTGGATAAATGGTACATTGCCTCCCTTGGAAACAGTAGTAAGCAAAGTAGCAGTGGAGCTACCAGTTTTTGTACTCACTTTAATAAGTGGCTGAGACTGAAGTAATGCATATAAAGTTGACAAACTAACTGAAGTACCCAGAGACGTTGTTGGAAGAGTAAAAGTTGTGGTCACACCACCAATTGGTAAAGTTATTGTATTAACAAAATTGACATTGGCTCGTGCTTTTTCTTCTTTCTTCTTCTCCCTTAGAATGGCCGCCCTGGCTCTTCTCTTTGCTCTCTCAGTATTTAATTTTGCCTGTCTTCTAGTTGTTGGTCTTCCATCCAATGCACCATTGACCATACCTTCAACTAAAACCACATCACCTAGTTTTGGTTCAGCCCTGTGAGCCAAAACATCTGCATTCTGCTGTTGTTCATTAGGAGCATCACTTGAATCTGAAGTATCATCTGAACTGCTGTCATCACTACTATTGTCGCTACTCGACTCTTCACTGGCCCAAACATCCTCTACTTCCTAATGGCATAAAACACACAGAATATACAGCATTACTAAATAAGGAACACAAATGAACAATTAATTGAATTACATAGTCCATGCAAGTTTAAGAAATATAAGTATATATTCTGAATATGAACAGCAAGAACATGTTGGAGATATGAACCAGAACTGCACCATTAAAACAAAATCTTGAATCCAATCTAAAACACAACTTAATGTGCATCACTGTCTTATAATGTTTGTACAGTTTGAACAAAATCTGTTCATACATGACACCAAGATCCAGTTTCATTTCGACAGAAATGATCGATTTTAATGAATTTTAAGCACAAAAATAAACGTCAATCAACCATCTTGAATCAAATTGTGAAATGGATTGAGGTGCATATGTATAAATGTATTGCATGATGTACGAGTGAAGTTTGAATGTTTTGCTTTCTTGAGCTGAGTACAGTTTTCAGTAAAATGAAGACACTTTTACTCTTAAAGTGAATAAAGAATAAACACAAGTAAATGGTGTCCCCATATATGCACATATTCATGGATGTGTCAAATCCTACCATACTCACATCAGGTGAAGGGGGTTGTTCCCTGTAAGTATCCCATTCTTTCTTCATTTTGATTCTATTTCTTGAAACTGCCTTTTGTATTCTTGATTCCCATGGTTCTAATTCGGCTAACAGGTTGCATAACACCTTGAAGTTCAGTAACACATCTTTTACGAGGAGGTGGTTTTTCAATCTGGCAATATAGATAATATTA